CTACCCCAAATCCTCAATCCTCCAGAACCTCAAGCTATTCTCTGCTTGAATGACCTCCAGAGAGTAGAAATTATTTTCTAAGGGCCTCAGAACACAGTAGTAGGTCATGCATGGAGAATCAAGGCCAATAGACATTTCTCTGAGCCTGTGGAACTCTCGTGGTCACTCACTCTGAGCACTCCAATTTATAGAGGGAGATACAGAGCCCTTCTCTCCTTTAGTGCCCCTCCACACTAGGGTTAGTCATCCTAGTTCCAGGAGCCCAGAGCAGTGGACTGCAGAACCCCAGGTCCTGTCCTCTCAAAGTTACCCTAAGGATGGTCCCTTACCCAGGCAGACCCCTTGGAAACCTTGGGGATCCTCTTACCGTCAGCCTGGTATCTCTCCCACTCCCTATGTTATAGACTCCTGGGCATGTTGCTAGGAGACTGGATGCTACTGCCCCATGGCAGAGCTGCTTCCAACCTCTTTCTTCTTCCTCTCTTGTCACCTCCCCCAGTCCGTTCCTCCTCCGACCCCACCCCCATGGTCTCCACCTGTGAAGTCAGTGTGTGTGAGCGTGTGTGTACACGGGCACGCCTGTGCACGTGTGGGGATGCAGAGAGGAAACAGTCCCACGTGGGGAGGGTGGACCAGGGTCCCCCAGATCTCAGGGGCTCTCATTCTCAAATCAAACCCCAGAGGAATCGGTGGAGCCCTGGCCTAGGGCGCCTGGAACCCTACGTTATCCTTATCTCTCCCAACCTTGTGCTCCCTGGGCCAGTCCCTACATCTCTCTGGGCCTCAGTTTCCCAATTGTACAATAAGGGATTGGGTGTAGAATTGAATAAGCGCGCTCAGCGAAGACCGGGCCAGGCCCCCAACACTGGTTGGGTTGTGAACGTGGGGAGTGTGGTCCTTCCCCCACCTCCGACAGAGGGAAGGGGGCCCAGACCGGGAGGGACACTCACCTGGCTATCTACCATCATCCTCAGCCTCGGCCGCTCATCGCCGGCCCCAGGGCGGAGCCCGGGGCTCTCAGTGGCCGCTCGCCTCGACCCGCGCGCGGCGCAGGGGGGCGCGCGGCTGCTGGGC